CTTTGGTCTTTATGAGGGGCAGCTGCTTCTGCCGCTGGAGCTTCTGTCTTCAGTCCTTCTACTGCATGCATGTCAATGTCAGACTCTCCGTACTTCACAGACTGCAGCACAGTGGATTTGATTCGGCTTTACCAGAGAAATAATGACCACAATTTAATTACATAGGACTTTATATCCTAGAAAATCCTTTAAAACGCCATATTTCTGGGGAAACAATTTCTAAAATATTTTATATTAAGTCTTTTCCATCCAAATGCCGAAAAAATTGAAGTTTGGATTTTTTGGGACAGAATTCTATCGGAATAAAAAAAACGAATTTGGAATTTGAAAATTAAACTTAAAAAAATTAAAATTATGTTAAAGTTATAGTTTTCAGAAAATGTTATACAATTTTTAGATTTTTAAAGCTAAGAAAAATTAATTCCCGTTCTACTAAGCTAAAGACTATCAAATGTTTAAAAGTAAGAATCATTTGCTGTATAAAGAAAATATATAAACAGTATTATTATAATGTGCTATGTCTTATAATCTTCCCAGAACGTTAGAATATTATATTTCTAAAAAAAATTAAGTTTGTAGTTATTTTCCCTAATGCTGCTGCCACTGTGACACCGACAGTTTTGAGAGTTAATCCGCCACTGACTTTCAAGCGAAGACGAAAGTCTCAGTCTCAGTAACTTCTTATTGGGTCTTTTTCTGCGGAGAGTGCGACACTTTAAAAAGTGCAACGACTCTGCAGCGCTGACTTTATGCACTCTGCATCTGGAGCTGCCCGGGATTGTCATTTTGACTTCGCACTTCGGATGCCAGTAGAAGTATCTGAGAAGTAGCTGCAGCTAAGGCTGGAGATTCTGATGCACATAAGAGGAGCTCCCCGGTTTCTTCTATTGTCTGCGATTATTTCCACTTACTTGACTCACGCATGCAGGCAGTATCTCTTCTTCGTTGTACATTTTCCCTTTTTGTATACTGCTGCCTCTTCACTTTTCTTTCTTTTACCTTATTGTGTCACTGAAGATTACTAAAGACTCTGTTTTCGTTTTCAATGCCTATTTGTGCATTTCGGTTTTCATCTTTTGTGTGCACATCTTTCATCTTCCTCTTGTGGCTGTAAGGTTTTATATTGTTACAGCAGCTCAAAAGTATCAATGGTCTGTTTTGATTGCCCGGTGAATGGGACACATTGACCCTTGGAGAGTTTAGTCATCTTAAGGCGAATTGGTTCCTTAATTGATGGCTCAGAGGGGAAAAATGTGGCTGGAAATGGGAAAAATCTAGTTTGGAGTAGAGTTTTAAGTCGATTTTTCTACCATGTCCTAAGGGAAATGTATTTTTTTTAATAATTGGAACTTTTTACATTTTTCTAAAGGTTTTTTAATAAATTTTTTTTTTTTTTTTTTGTTATAAACCGAAGTGGACACAATCTTTATTAACACGCCTCACAAGAAATGACTAAATATAAATTCTTAAAAATATTTCTTATTCAAAGGCTTTATTAAACCGAACTCTATTTCCATCTACACCAGGAATCCTTACTTTTCCAAAGTTTAATCTAAACTTGGTTATGATCTCCACCTTCGATTTAATTTGATCAGCCCACAGGCAAAGTTCTGCATATATAGTTGCTCGGGGGGATTCCCTGCACCACCAAAAAACCCTCTCAGCTCTTTTCCAGACGCAGTGAGTCGCCTTTTGAGGTGTTTAACCTCAGCTGCGAGGAACACTTAAAAGCGTTTCATGTTTTATCTGGGCAGGCAAGTCGTCTGGGGTTCTGGGGGACTGATTCCATTAAGGGGCGCCACAACACCACCTTAACACTTGCTGCGCCTGTTGTTCGCCACATGTCCCGCATCCCAAAGTCCAATCCTCGTCCTGAAACACCAGCCTCGCCCTTTGCCGGGATGGTTGGGTAAATAAAACAGTAACTTTTGTGGTTGCCCTCAGACCAAGTGGGTGGTTAAGAGTGGTTCACTGAGTTGTAGTGGGTAGGCAACAAAAGTTTCGGTTTTTTTATGTCCGAACATAATTTTCAACGGGGCTAAAACAAGACGAATTTTATGTGCAACTTCCTTGTTCGCTATTTGTAGTCGACTTTGAGGCGTTTATGGGATGGCAAGTGGGCGGAGGAATAAGCACCGCACCCCACACAAAAAGCCATATAATTGAGCTTGAACATTAAGCGGCTTTTTTGGGGTTTAACTCGGCATATTGAAACCGAATCATTGGTTGATTGAATTACATATCGTGGGGGTATTTAGAAAGAAGACTCCCCCGAATTTCTTAAAGTCTTCGTCTGCGTTTTCGGTTTCAACTGTTTCCGGTTCAAATTTAAATTAAACTTGTTAATTATTCTATCCGAGCAACCCACACAGAATGTGAAACAAGACAACAACATGTGTTCGCTCCTCCACTTCCTTGCTTTTCCGTCCCACATTTTGCGGGTTTCCTCGTTCCCATTTGCAATCATGATAATGATCCGATGCGATCACTTTTTGATCCTTCCCTCCTACGTGACAGGCATGCGTCAAACTCCAACGTAACTCGAGCCTACCTTCACATTTTATAGTTTCCTACGACATTTGCTCCCTTTTTTCGGTAGCAGATGTCGCCTAACATCATGTCTAATGAAATGCTTCCGTAGCTCCACAATGAAATAGGGAACCCTCATAGTTCGGGGCGTGAAAGTTGTTGACATGTGGGTAGGGGTACGGGGGTCTGACTACCGGGAAGGGGGATAAGGTATGTGTAGAAACGACCATTAATCCATTCCTAGCACGTGTCGTCATGGCTACTGCTCAAATCATTCAACTGGCCCAAGTTCAATATAAATCTATAATGTTTATAATTTTTGATCACATTTAAATCCGAACTTTGTTCTATATTTAACGTAAAGATTTTTATTTATAGAAATCGCAAAGGAATTTAATTATTCATTATACCCGCTGAGATCTCGGAAACTACAAAAGCTAGAAGGTTGAGATTTCCGACACATATTATTGGGCTTCCTACGCCCCCTCTAACGCCCACAATCGCCCACTAACGATTTTAGAATGTGTCTGGCACCCACATCTTTAAAGATTTCCGAGAAGTATAAATGCAATTTTGTTGTGTATATTTATACCTATCGAAATGTAGAAGACATTTTTCAATTCGGACCATTCATTAAAAAGTTATATGCAATCAAAAAAATTGAATATATCTATCTCCCTCGCACTCCCTTTAGCTGAGTGACGGGTATTAGATAGTCGGGACACCAACCCGCCTATAGCGTTCTCTCTTGTTTTTAATATCAATAAAAACATTGCGCAAGAGTTGACGTGAGAAATTATCATATTTAATTTACCTCAAAAAAGAAGTGGATATTCTCAGGGGTAGGGATATGAAATCCTATGCCAAAAAAGGGGTGTTGGGCTGGGTACGCAAGGGTTAGTGCTGTAATGACGCATCAGGACTTGGAATTTCCCTACATACGCCAGATGTCTTGTCGGTATAAACTGCGCTTCAGCACTTGCCAATTGATGCGCATTCGAAAACGAGTTTCGAAACCGAAATCAAAACCTTAACCCAAACCGAAATCCCCTATCAACAAACTTCGTCCAGCCGGTTTTCTTTTGTTACCGTCCTTCCTTTACAGAAAGGACAACAAAGCAAAGTACTATATTAGAAACCCGAACCTTAAGATACCCTTTCAGAGGACCAACATACTACTTTACCATCAATTTTTTTATAGGAGTTATTTTTTAAAGGATTAGACTTACGTTCCTAAATTTGAACAACCGTTAAGAATATTTTACTCGATCCGTTTTTTTTCCAGGTTGCTCCAAGCCAAATCTTTACAAGATCTCTTATTCAAGCATAACAAATACCTTACCAAAATTACAATATGCACTCTATAAAAAACACTATTTGAACATTTTGCATTTACTGTACAGGAAAACAAAGCAATGCATGGAGAGAGTAAGAGAGTGCAGGAGAGAGTCTGCTGCTTCTGCCTTCCAGCCACCCCTATGCGGGTGCACCCTCCTCTCCCCTTTCCCACAAACACATGGCCCAAGCCGGCTGTTCTGTGAGAGAGAAAATAAGAGCGGCAGCACACTCAGAAAACCGCTTCCAGTGCACAGTGGGACAATTAAATTGTATGTTCTAACAAAAGAGAGTATGACTTATTTTATAGGAATAAATAAATTCCTGGAGGACCCATTTGATTCTTAGACAGAGTTGTAGTTTTTGAAGGATAATAAATATTTATTAAATAAATATATTATTATTTATATTATTTGTTTCTAGAGATACTAGAATATTATAAAATAAATCTTAATATTTTATTCAGTGAGGAGTCCTTTCTAAATTCTCAATATTAAGGATCAATCGTCACAAGAAAATGGTGAACTGCTTATTTAATAACAGAGAGAACAAGAAAGGAAGCTAGCTTTACAAATCGCAAAAATGTTAAAATACCTATTATTTCACATTAATTTTTCGATCGTTTCTATGGCAGCTATATGATATAGTAGTTCGATCTTTTTAAAATTAAAATCGAAATTAGGAAATATTTAATAATAGTCATATCCCAGAGTAGAAAAGAATGTAATAAAAATCAACAAAGATATTTTTTTCCTATTAATTTCCATTTATTTTTTCGACCGTTCCTTAGGCAGCTATATGATATAGTGATCCGATTTTTTAAATATTTAACTCGAAATTCAAATATATTTAAAAAATAATATTCCTAAGAGTAGAAGGTAATATTTGAAAGCTAGAATTTTTTTTAACTTTTTTTTTCCGATCCTTCCTATTAATATTATCAGATTTTTTTAATCACACATATTTTTTTAAAGATAAATTTTTGTGTTTATAGCTCGATAAACCGAAATCCCATATTCATTTCTTGCCACAACGAGAGCGCGAGAGTGACAATAAGAGAGCCGTTTCCACTTCCAGTGGTTGGTTGGTTGGTGCGGCTCTTGCTGCTCTACCACTGCCGCTGTGGAAATGGAATCCGAGCCAGCGTCAGACAGAGTCACGCTCTTCTGGAAACCGCACGCTTTTTCCTCTGCTCCGGTCGCCTCGTTTTCCCATCGCACACCATCCTGCAACAGCAACACACACTCTCGCCCAGCAGTCGCGGTCAAAAAGAAAACAAAATCAAAATCGGCGCAAAAGAGGAATATCTTTTGTATTCCTATTGTGTATATAGTGCAAATAATATATTAACACAAGTAAAACCAGAAAAAACACCGCAACTATTTTTGTGAATTTTGTTTTGCTCTGTGCCGAAAGAGTGAATAAAAGAAAAGCCGCAATAAATCAAAAAATCTCTACGTTTGTTATACACACCTAAGTGTCCTGCAGGAAGGACATCGGGCCCATTTATGCCCCCCGCTGTTTCCACGGATTGAAGGATTATTCCCAATTGCCACATTTCAACGACATCACATCGTGTTTGCGTGATTTGAACATAAGGTATGAATCAAAATTCGAGGTAAAGGACCTCAGGGAAATGAAAAATTGAATAGCAGATTGAAAAAAAAATGTTTTATAAACGAGAGGAATTTATTTTTCCATATGCCAAAAATATATATAATTTTTGTTGTCTTAAAATTTCTAAAAGTTCTTAGATCCAGTTGAGCGTAGTACCATTTGAAATTAAGATTTTTGTCACCATCATTACAGATGGATCCATAAGTTCGAAAAATATTTTTTAAATTATGAGATTTGTAGATGTACAGGTTTTCCGCTCAGAGTTGGTATCAAAGAAAAAAATTTTTTATTTGTAAAATACCAGACATAGAAAATATTAAGCTTTAATTAAACAGTAACATATTATAATTTTAAAATGATCCCAAATAGCATATTTTGTGGATACAACAAATTAAAGTTTTAAAGTTTAAGATTCAATTTCTACAAAACATGAACATATCATTATGTTTTACTTATTTAGAATCTTTGGAAAAAAATTTTCGGCCTTAATCCCTAGATCTCATTAAATTAATTTTTAATCCTACACAAGCCATAATTACCGAAGAAAAATCTTACCAAAACAATTTAAAAGGCGTCTCCACAAACATTTTATTTCAAGCTCCTAATAAGATTAATGGGACTTCACGATTCATTGGTATAATCCCTCCGTAACGTCGCACACCCATCATCATCATCATATGCGTCTTGGGGTCTAATGGCTCGTGTCAATGATCAGACAGCTCTTTCCCCTCTTTATTTCTAATTTTCCATCCTTTCTAATGGCATGTGTCACTGCTCCATGCAAGAAACATAACCATTTGATATAAATCACAGCCCTGACAAATCCTTTTGAACATTTCATAAACATAATGTGTGCTAATCCTCAGATATTTCAATCCATCAACATTCACAGAGTTGTGGATGGAGTTGCTCCAAAAATAGGACGACCCTTTTTGATCATTTGTATGCATAGGCAGACGCCAGCTAGAATAAATCCCCAAAAAGTGATTCAGTAAACAAATGGAAAGGAAACCATTGAAGGGATACCGGGAAAAAAAGCAATAATTCAATGATGAATTAATAGGCGCAGGGAAAAGATCACGAATTCCCGGGATCTCCAGAGAAAGTTCGAGTTGGCAGCTGCTACTTTTCGATTCGCTCTAGAAAAAGACTTCCGGGGAATCGGGTAACTAAAAAGCAAGGAAAACATCAACAAAGCAGGGGCACAAAAAAATAGGGTAGGAAGCAGTGAAGACGCCAAGCTGACGCAACATTTGCATTCGGAAAGAGATTTATTGAGGCAACTCCCCCTTGACTTTTCACTCCAACTTCCCTCATTGTTTTGCCAAGTTTTCAAAAGACAAAAGCCGACAGCCACGATGATGTTGATGAGTGTGCCACAGTATCTCATTTTCTCACTTTACCCCAAAATGTGTGTGTAATCAAAAGTTTTTCTTCTTTACAATTCAATTTGAAATTGTTGTTTCTTATGCAAGTTGCCCGCTTTCACTTGAAAAGTAAACAACAATTAAGGAAAAACACAACAAGGAAAATGCTAGAAGAATACCAAACACAATTTTCAACACTTTTTCTCGTTCTCAAAGATAAACAATCCAACGCTTTACATGCAGAGTTCATGGTCAAACAATTTAAACGAAAATGGAGTTTTCATTTAGGAAATTGTAAATCCATCAGCAATGAGAACTTGAAAGTCAAGTGCTGGGATAAGATCCCAAAACTCGGATCCCCTCAAGAGCTGCTGACAATTGACTAATGAGGGTTACAAGGAACCCCAGCGCAAATCATAAATATTTTCTGTTGACAATTTCAATTGCCCGGCGAGGAGTTTGGCTTCAAGGAATTCTCAGAGTTGCTATCTTGAAGGAAATCTTTGCTTATCTGACTGAAAAAGGAACGTCGTGCTAGAAGAAAATGTGCAATAAAATTAAATGATATAATGGGAAAGACAGCCATGCGTTGGATTGATCCTAGGTACTGTACTGAGCAGACTTCAAGATGCTCCGTATTTCAGTTGCTCTGTATTTCACTAAGTTTGCTTTAATGGTAGTAATAAAAATCCCATCCTAATAACAAAAGGTGAATTGATTCAGACAAAATAATAACAACGCCTTAAATTGCTTTAACATTTTATTAAAATTATATTTTTTAAACTAGGTATTTGGTTTCTTGACCAAAATTACCCAAAATCATAAGAATTCCCAGATAATTCCCGGGAACTAAGCAAACATCGCAACTCAAGGTTATCCCATCCATATCTTCAAGTGTTGTTTGTCCCTCGAGTGTAATTACAAATTCATAAAAATGCTCTGTTTGAAGTGGAAATCTCATTCCGACTTTGTTTGCTGTTCCCACTCCAAGCTCCATTTTTTTTTTTTTTTCAAATCCCCTTGTCCCAGAACTAGGCGCCTTCCGTAGATCCTTTGAGGTTTGTGGAACTCTTTGCTCGTTTACCAATTTCCGCTCTCTACCTGCCCCAGGAGATTATTATCCATCAAAATAACAAGAGGGGAGACGAATGAGAATTCACATCGCACGTGTATGAACCTTTGGGTTTTGCGGTTTCTGGTTTCTCCACCTCTTATGCACTAAAAAAAATTAAAACCTTTTTGGTAAAAGGTTTCAACCTTAAACAATATTTATACCCGTTACTCATAGAGTAAAAGGGTATACTAGATTCGTGCAAAAGTATGTAACAGCTAGAAGGAAGCGTTTCCGACCCCATAAAGTATATATATTCTTGATCAGGATCACTAGCCGAGTCGATCTAGCCATGTCCGTCTGTCCGTCTGTCCGTCTGTCCGTCTGTCCGTCTGTCTGTCCGTCTGTCTGTCTGTATGAACGCTGAGATCTCAGAAACTACAAAAGCTAGAAGGTTGAGATTTCCCACACATATTCTTTGGCTTCCTACGCAGCGCAAGTTTATTTTAGCCAAGCGCCACGCCCCCTCTAACGCCCACAATCGCCCACAAACGATTTTAAAATGGGTCCTGCGCCCACATCTTTAAAAATTTCCGAGAAGTATAAATGCAATTTTGTTGTGTATATTTATACCTATCGAAATGTAGAAGACATTTTTCAAATCGGACCATTCATTAAAAAGTTATACGATTTATAAATTGTCAACATATATCTATCTCCCTCGCACTCCCTTTAGCTGAGTTACGATTATTAGTCGGGACACCAACCAGACACAGCGTTCGCACTCCCTTTAGCGGAGTGACGGGTATTAGATAGTCGGGACACCAACCCGACTATAGCGTTCTCTCTTGTTTTAAAAATAAAATCCATCAAAAATTTTTTTAAAAATTAATTTTCAAGATTTAGAAATTGAAACTCTTGAATTTTGGTATCAGTTACTTTTTGTAGTGCTTTCTAGATCGTTTTTTGTTTTTTTTTTCTATAAGCTCTATATTTTTTAACTGTACCTTATGCTCGAGTGAACTTTACTCCCCCTTCTTAATTCTGACCCCTTCCGCATTGTTTTTTGAACACGTGTCAGATCTGTTCATTAATCACCCTTCTTTTGATTGCCTGGCGAATATGTGGCTCATCATTTTCCATTCTCCCACTTGGCCAACTTCAATAAATTGCCATGAAATTAAGTAATTTGAACCAAAATCCACAGCACGGCATGATAAATCGTTAGATCAGAATATTAAAAGTTGATTTTAAAATGACCCGAGGGGATTTTGTAAGGAGGCCCAATCCCGACCAGAAGTCCATTAGCATGGCGTCCGGATGACAAATTGACTTCGTTAGGAGTTTTGCGATTTCCCTCGTCGTCTGCCTCTTTTCCGTCATGGAAATTGGAGGCGCAAATTGAAAAATTATTTGGCCTGAGGTTATTGAATCTAAAACGCTGATTGCAGGTGCTTTGAGTAGGGAAAATGAGTGCACTGAAAGAAAGAAAACCAAAATTTTAATAAAGTAAATAGTTAATAATTTTTATACCCGTTACTCGTAGAGTAAAAGGGTATACTAGATTCGTGCAAAAGTATGTAACAGGCAGAAGGAAGCGTTTCCGACCCTATAAACTATATATATTCTTGATCAGGATCACTAGCCGAGTCGATCTAGCCATGTCCGTCTGTCCGTCTGTCTGTCCGTCTGTCTGTCTGTCTGTCTGTCTGTCTGTCTGTATGAACGCTGAGATCTCGGAAACTATAAAAGCTAGAGGATTGACATTTTGCATGCAGATTCTAGGAGTTCCTACGCAGCGCAAGTTTGTTTCAAAACGGTGCCACGCCCCCTATAACGCCCACAATCGCTTATATACGATTTTAAAAATTTCAATATTTCGGAAAAGTAAAAATGCAGTTTTATGGTGTTTATCAATACCTATCGAAATGTAGAAGAAATTTTTTAAATCGGACCATTCGTTAAAAAGTTACGGCGGATTAAAGTTTTTAACTCCATCTCCTTCGCACTTCCTTTAGCTGAGTAACGGGTATCTGATAGTCGGGGCACCCGACTATAGCGTTCTCTCTTGTTCTTCTTTGTTTTGCGAATTTATACAGTTTTTGTGTGTATATTTTTCTGCTCTAAAAAAATAAAATCCGAGATTGTTGGTCTTAAATCTTATTCTCTTTGTTTTAGGGGTACAAAATATTCTTCTCTAAAATAATGTTAATTTTTTGGCTGTGTGTGGTTTATAAAATTGTATAGCAATTATGTCTTTTATTGCTTTGACTGTCTAGACAAATTTCCTCGCACATATAATTATAAGCAAGAGTTGCAGGACTAAAGCTCTTTTTTATCAGCAGATCTAAATGTCCAGGTTGCGGAGTGTCCTGAAATTGTTCAAATATCCTGTTTAATTGAGCATAAACGGCGCCCACTCACAAAGGCACTCTGAAAAGTGCATGTCAAAATAGTGTGTCCTTTTTCTATTTTTTATTATCCACCTCCTGGCATCTCGCTCACACATTTTACTGCCTGTTCGCACGCACACGACAAATGGACGCTAAGACGCCATCTGGCGGCGGGTGGCAGCAGCAATTTTTTTCTGGCCACAAAATATAGGAAGGCAAGAGGAAATGTAATAAATAATAATAACAGGACGTAGATCGGTAAAACCTCCCACGCCCCTCCCCTTGCTTCTGTTTTCCCCCTATCATTCGTTTTTCCCCTTTAATTCCTCCCCACTCCTGTTGTCATTTCCTTCGCACTGTTTTCGTTTCATGCTTCGCTGCCGTTAGTTGGGCTAAAAAAAAACATAGTAAAAATAATATAACTTGATATTGCGACTAAGTGATATCCAGTAATTCACTTCCAAAGTATAACATTTTTTCATTAAAAATAAATTGAACATTTTCAACATTTAACTTAGAATTTCAAGTATTTATTGTGAAAAGTCTTTATTTTGATAATTTGATAAATTTGAATTAGGACATACTATGTATTTTGAAAGTAAGTAAGTTTTAAACTCTAGATTTCAATACGTTTTCCAAGTTTAAAATCTAAAACTGCCCTGAGACTTAATACTATATACCCCTGTTTATAGCACAGTGCCCCCTTATATTACAAAATGGAATGAGTAACAGCAACAGAGGCACAGGTTGCGTCTTTGGCGGCAGTTTGTGTCCAAAACTTTTGTACCAGTTGTCGCTTTCTCACTCATGACGGGCGGTTATCTCCCCCAACTAAACCTCCCAATTCAACATGGCCCTGCTTTTCACTCCCTCAGGCAGAATAAATGGCCTAAAGCAATTGCATTTTTATGCATTTCAAAGTGTTTCTTGACATGTTTCGAGATACGAGATATTTTACCAGAATTTATTTGTTGCGCTAGAGTTGGGAACTACGAGGGTTTTTGGTGGTTGGTTGAGGGGAGATATTGGTTGCTCATGTTGCAGGATAATCTTGTATGATTTTTGGGACAGTGGTGGAAAAATTCAAGATATTTTATTTTTTATGTCAGACATTTTAGTGGATTTATATATCTAATGTATATATATATTTAATCTATATATATTTGTATTGAAATGAGTAACTAAATTTTACAAAATTAATAATTTTAAATTATCCCTCAAAAATGTGCAAACTAAATTCTTTAAAATTCCTTATCTATGTAGAGTAATCGATAAGAAAAATGATCTATATTGAATATCTAAGATTTATAAACGATTTTAAAAAAACGTTGAATTTATATTAAGTTTTTGTGTTGTAGTTTTTGCTTAAACCTTATACCACTGTATCCCCCAACACGTTGTGGTCAACTTTTTATGTTTTAACGGCAATTTCCATGTGTAGCACTAAAAAAACAAAGAGCGGGATGAAATTCAGGGATAATAAAAAAGGAAGCAGGGTCGGGGTGTCGGCTATGAGAAGGAAGTCGAATTGCATGTCAAACGCAAGTTTCGAATTTGATTTAATTTACGAGCCAAGACCAATTACAGGCCGGTCACATATGCCGCAAAGAATCCAGCAAAAAAGCAGGATGGGGCGTAAAATGGGTGGAGTGCGTGACTTGACGACATGGAACGATTTTCCTTTTTAGCGTTTTTCATTGCGTTTTGGGTGCGTCAACTTTGTTTGTTTGATCCCCCACTGAAACAGACACTTCCATAGACATTTCTCAGCTAATTAACAATGATCGCTGTGAGGAATTTGTCTGCGGATAGCCCTATAAATAGTAAAGTTTTTGCTATTCCTTAACTTGCCTTCAATTAATAATTGCATGGACAGTGGGTTACAAAAAAGTAAATATATTTTAGGGACTATTTATAAAAATAATATATTTGTATACTTTTTTTTACTTCTAAAAATTCTAGTAAATAGCAGACTACACTTGTTTCGCATAAAAATAAACTTTTCTTTTAAAATTATATTTTTTATTGACCTGTCTATCAAGAACTTTATTCGAAAGTAAGACAATAAAGATTTAATTGCGTTTTTGCCAGAATCATTTCAAAGCCTTACGTTTTATAGATGTGTCAAGATTTTTTAGTATTAGTGCGCACTATAAAGATCCACATTCAAGATAGTGCCCGAAGATACTCCAGTTCCAGTGAACTGTAATTACTTTGACCTGCTTCTGTTTGGAGAAGGGAATAGTACGAGTACCACTATATAGACGGCTGCGGCAAGAACAACAAGGAAGCTTATATGCCTCTTCTGGCCCCATGACTTTTCTACACTTCTGCCCAGACAGAAACTTATCTCCGCCCTTTCCCGCCTTTCCCAGTCGTGGTAATACTTTGAAATCCGATTCAATTGGATTGTAATGCGTTGTCGCGTTGTTGCAACCCAACTCATTCCCATGTGTGACACTCTTTTCACTTTCGATACGCAACTTGGTCGAGTTGCTTTCGATTTTTCTACATTTCCATTCTGTGCTTTTCCTCGGCGGTGTCACTCTTCCAGTTGACCAAATCGCCCGAAAGCGGGAAAACCGAGAGAATGAACTGATAATGATGGCAGATTATGGCACGCAACGCATTTTGAACTTAAAGTTCACATTTTAATGGAATTTCGGTTGATTTACATGACAGAGGTCGCGACTTGGCATCGTTTTTCCTTTGCCATATCTTCCATGTCGTGTGGGTTTGGGTTTCATGCGTGCGAGTAATGGACTTGTAATACTCTCAATGGGGAAATAATGAGACTAGACAGGCAGTGCAGTGACATGGAGATAAATTTACTGGGTCAAATGAACGAAAAATGGAATTGAGATTAAAATGTAAAACTATTTTCTACAAAAAATCATTGATAAGCACATGCAAGTCAGAATCGATTTCATGAGATCATTCCTAGTATTATTTTCTGACTTTACTCATCAGAATCGAATTCATGAGATCATTCCTAGTACTATTCTTAGGACAAGGAAGTGCATTCTGTCTTGAATATAATATGTCTGAAACGCAAATCTTTTTTAAATGATCACGTTTTTTACTTGCCGCTGAACTAATGTCATTCTAATGTCAGGATCATTAAAAAAGTCAGGTAAAGTCAAGAAAGGACTTTGAAAAATAGAAAATTCTCATGACTTCTGGCAGTTTCTGGTGCGGTCAATTGGTCTGGACGTGATTTGCTACTGCAATCCCGCTGCGAACGGCGTTTCAGACGCGGCGAATGTCCTTGGATGCTTTCCACGTTGATTTTATAGTTTTTCGCTAATTAAGAACGTTTTTCCGAGAACGTGGCACGTGTGAAAAGCGACAAGGCGCACGTACCAAAAAAGGGAAAAGTAGGGAAACCAAAGAAAAGCCTAAGAAGGAAACGATCTGGTACGGGGATTGGATCACAAACTGATCGGTATGCAGCTGGTTCTGCTCGCTTAATAAATTTGCGGTCTTCCCGCCCCGAAAAAGAAATGCCATGCTGCCGGGATATGTTGAGGGAAATACGAGCGAAATTTCCGCGGCCTACCTGAGTGGGGCAGCATTTTCCAGGTAGGATTTTCAACTAGGACTTCTTCAGGTAGAGAAAGAGAGAGAAGCCGAGGAAAACCCTCGAGCAATTGTGCAAGGACAAAGGCCTTGCCATTTGCCAGGATCAGCTGCTGATCCATCGGAATTCTCTGCCAGAACTGTATAAAAACCGTGTGCAGATGGTAGCGGCAGCTAGAAGCATTTCAGCCAGCGATCGTGATAGATCTTAGATCATAGATCCCCTAAAAAAATCGTTACTTAAAAACCAGAGCCAAAGTGTAACCTAGTTATTTCCTCAACTAAGTCAAGGTTTGTCCTGCAATGGGACCTGAAATCCGTAACATAAACTAAAAAAATATTTGTTTTTATTTTTTCCAGAATTCTCGCAGAGTTCTCTAAACGATCTTAAAGACTCTACAAAATGGGCGAACTCGAAGAGAAGGAAACGCCGCCCACTGAGACGACAGCCGCCCAGCAGGAGGCTCTCGAGGAGCCCAAGGAAACGGACAAAATGCTGGACAAAAAAGAGGACTGCAAGGAGAAGACACCCAGTCCGCAGACCTCGAAGCCCGCATCTCCCAGTGCTGGCAAGAAATCCTCGCCAGTGGCCGAGAAGAAACTCGAAGATGCCGAACCAGAGAAATCCAAACCAGGAAATGGAGAGGAAATCATTGATATTCCCGCCGAGAATGGCACAAAACCCGAGGGCGCCGATGAGAAGAAGATCAGCAAGGAGGAGCGCGAGGTGAAGCCCAAGAAGATTCCGATCGGAGGTCTCAAGCTGCCCGGTTTCTTCATGAAGAGCAAGCCCAAGGCGGAGGGCGATGGAGCCGAAGGGGAGTTGCTCGAAAAGGAGGAGGATAAGGAGAAGGAGGATAATGGAGAAGCCGCCACCGCAACCGGCAAGGATGATCAGAAATCTCGTCCTGGTCTGGGAGAGCGCCTGCGTAACTTCTTTGCCCGCAAACCATCCGCCGAGAAGGAAAAGAAGCAGCTGGTGAACGGCGATGCCGATGCCAAGTCGGGTTAGTGTTTAAATAAATTATTATTATAATCAAAAACTAATTTGATGTTCTCTCTTTATAGAAGCCACCGCTGAGGCTACGCCCGGCGATGATGCCTCCGATGCTCCGCCAAAGCGTGGCCTCCTGAACGCCATCAAGCTGCCCATTGCCAATATGATACCGAAGAAGAAGGGCAACGATGATGTGGAGCTGGGCCTGGGCAAGGCGGGTCTGGCCTCGATGGAGACGCTGGATGATTCGCTGAAGGATCAGGACACGGTGGATCGGGCGCCCGTCAAGACCAACGGCACCGAGGAGCTGAAGGACGAGCTAAAGGACGAGAAGTTGGCGGCCGAGGAGAAGCTGGCCGCCGAGGAGGAGGAGCAGAATCGCCCAGTCTCCCTGCTAACTCGGTTGCGCGCCTACCGTTGCAGCGTGGACGATGCCCTGATTGTCTTTGGCATCCTGCTGTTCGTGCTCCTGCTGGCCGTGATTGGCTATGTGCTGACCCACGAAACGTTGACAACGCCGCCGCTGCGAGAGGGACGCTTCATCACGGCCGTGACGGGCTGTGGACCCGTGGAGGGTGTGAAAGAGGATGGAGCCTTCGCTTTCCGTGGCATTCCGTATGCAAAACCACCGGTGGACAGGCTGCGATGGAAGCCGGCCGAGCTGATCGATGACATTGATATGTGCTGGAACGATACGCTGCAAACGCACAACAGCAGTGTGGTGTGCACGCAGCGATTGGGCAATGGCACCACGGTGGGCGATGAGGATTGCCTGTACCTGGATGTGGTCACTCCCCATGTGCGTTACAACAATCCATTGCCCGTGGTGGTCCTGATTGGCGCCGAATCTCTGGCTGGTCCTTCGCCGGGTATCCTTCGTCCATCGGCTCGCTACTCGCGATCGCACGATGTGCTCTTTGTGCGTCCCAACTTCCGTTTGGGTGTCTTTGGCTTCCTCGCTCTGGATGCCCTGACCAAGGAGGCTCATCCGCCCACTTCCGGGAATTATGCGCTCACCGACATCATTGCTGTGCTCAAGTGGATCAAGCTGAATATTGCCAACTTTGGTGGTGACCCGAAATCTGTGACTTTGCTGGGTCATCGCGCCGGAGCCACTTTGGTCACGCTTTTGGTGAACTCGCAGAAGGTCAAGGATCTGTACACCAGGGCCTGGGCTTCCTCGGGATCGGCTATACTGCCTGGCAAGCCGCTCAGCGAATCTGGCAAGCTCAACGAGCAGCTGATGAACACGGTCGAGTGCACGGATGTGCAGTGCCTGCGTGAGGCATCCAGCGAGCGTCTGTGGGCCGCCACTCCCGACACCTGGCTGCACTTCCCCGTGGATCTTCCCCAGGCGCAGGAGGCGAATGCCAGCGGCAGCCGACACGAATGGTTGGTCCTCGACGGCGACGTGGTCTTCGAGCATCCCTCAAACACCTGGAAGCGTGAACAGGCCAACGAAAAGAATCCCATACTGGTAATGGGCGCCACGGCTCACGAGGCGCACACCGAGAAGCTGCGCGAGCTGCACGCGAACTGGACGCGCGAGGAGGTGCGTGCCTATCTGGAGAACTCCCAGATTGGAGTTTTGGGCCTCACCGATGAGGTGATCGAGAAGTACAACGCGAGCAGCTATGCGTCGCTCGTTTCCATCATCTCGGACATACGCAGCGTTTGCCCGCTGCTGACGAACGCGAGACTGCAGCCCAGTGTGCCCTTCTATGTGGTAACCCAGGGCGAGGGAGCCGATCAGCTGGCCACCGTGGATGCCGATGTCCAGGCCATTCTGGGTCGCTACGAGCCGCATACCGTCGAGCAGCGTCGCTTTGTTTCGGCCATGCAGCAGCTGTTCTACTATTATGTTTCCCACGGAACGGTTCAGTCGTTCGTCCAGAACCGCAGGGTCATCAATCTGGGACAGGATGCGCTGCCGCAGGAGGACTACTCGCCCTGCAACTACTGGATCAGCAAGGATATAGTGCCGCGGTATGCGCGCGTCGATTAAGCCAACCAAAATCCCGAAAATCTAATCTGGGAATCGATTATCTCATACAGCCTTGTGGCGGCTTCCATTTCTACTAAATCTAAGGCATAGGATTTCTTTAAATTTAGTAGGAACCGGAAACCCCAATCAAAGCTTCATTTTTCCCCCGACTTCGTTTCGAGTTTAGTTTAGCCTAAGTTAGTCTAGTGTTTATATATATAACGATATGTGTAACGGATATTTAGTTCTCGTACAGTTTAAGTTGAAAGTCTTAAGTTATGCTGACTCCATACGTTTCAATACACGAATACGTATTCTCTAATCTTAACATTAACGAACACAAAAACACACAGACACAAATAAAACATCACAAAATATACAAAATTGTACTTGAAAAGTATAGATCTGCGTCTTTCAACTATCCAACACACTAATCTACATGCTATACTATAAACCATATACAACTAAATAGGAGTAAATGCCACAGAGGTTTTTGATTTACCAAAAGAAAGCAGAAAACCCGCTAACGACCAACGACGAAACTTTTTTGATACAATTTTACAAAACTCAAGACTCAAGAGAAGCAAACCGAATTCATAAGGATTTAGTTGGGTTGGTCCACAATCGAGGGACTTTTCCAAGAAGTAAAATGTTGCAAACATTTCGAGACTGTCAGGAATGAATTTAGACATCTATTTAACCATTCGTTCATTTCCACCATTCACTTAGGAGTATCTATAATTACGCATATATATATAAATCGGATATTGTATGGATAACACATTTTTGTATAGCTTTATATGTATATTATATTAATCGAACCAACATTTTCTATTGTTTTATACAAGACTTATCCACGACAGTTTACGAGCATTCAAAAATTGAAATCAAGAATCAAAAAAAGCAGAACATGGAGTACACAATATAGATTTATGTTCAGAGTAATCTTGTACGCGAACCGTAAGGTTGACAAATGTTTAATAAACGGAAATAATGAGAAAAAATTAAACTAAGAACTAAGCTTCTATGTTCGTCAGTCACTTTGTTTCATGGAAATCAGCTAAAACTAAACATTTCTTTGGGTATTTTCATGGAAAACGAATCCGCATGCAGGCACATATTCTATCGCTTGGAACTGTTAACTTTGTAGACGCGGCATTTATTGTCGGTGAGGGCGGCCAAATAGGAACCGGCCTGCGTGGCCACGGGGCAGATGTCGTACACGACCTCATTGACGGGCATCGTTTGCACCCGCTCCTCCCGTCGCACATCATGCATCATTAGCTGCTTGCTGTCCTGCAGATAGCCCACCACCAAAGTATTATCCTCGACGCCCAGTTGGGTGGGTCGCGTCATAATCGGCGTGGCCTTCGAGCCGTAAATGGTTGCCTTCACCTTCAGCACCGGCGTTCCGTCAATCTTGTCCAGCCGGCCGAGTATGAAGCGTGACTGGGGTGAACTGGGATTGGATCGGGCCGATATGAGCACCGTGTCCTGCACGGCATCGTACTGCATGGACAGGAAGGGTCCCTCCACATTCAGCCGCGTGGGCACAGCCGTATCGCTGGCCGCGGCGTACTCGTAGAAGGTGAGGGCCGTCAGCTGGCAGACCAGGAAGCCGCCACTGGTGAAAGTCTTGTTCGGTGGCACTGGAACTATGTGTATCACAGGACTGAAGTTCTCTGCAAGGGATTAATAAGTGATGATACAGTAAGTTTTATGTTTAAGGGGGGATATACATATAGAACTGTAATTTTTTCAAGTTTTTTTGTGATTTTTTTTAACCAATAAGGAATTTTGCTGGAATTGTTGGCATGTTGATTACATTGTTCTTATATAATTTTAACAATTTTTATTTTGTTTTTATCCTTCAAAATGGCAGCCGTGGGAATTTTTTTGTCAGGCTATATTAAAAAAAAAATAGGCCAGCGGCGGATCGTCCGCAGGATCGTCCGATTTTTATGAAACCAAGTTTATTTTGTTAAGAAATAATGTAGAAACTTACATAGAATACCTCAAAAACTATGGTTGTGGCACTATTTCAAAGTCAAATTTTTTTTTTCATACTTATTTTGTTGTTCTTGGCTAACAAAAAATACTTAAACGTACAAATTTCTACATTAAGTAGGTTCAGACAATGGGCAATTTCATTACAAACATTTTTGTAAAATCAGCATGATGATCGAGGCATTACTTTTTGAGATACACGATCCGCAGCTGAGGAAAACGTGGTTTCGTGAAAAAGGTATTTAAAATAATGAAGTAGATATATTGCATAAGGAAGGTGGGTGCCGTCATTCTGGTATAAGTTCCAAAATAGGTCGAATTTCTTCGTGAAACTTTCATGAAACATTTTTAAAGAGTTATTCTACCAATTTAAGTAATAAAATAATTGAATTTTTATTTTTTCTACATGTATCTCCCCCCTTTAATTTATTATCTCGCTTACCTTCGGCTTGGAACTCGCAGAGAATGTTCTCGGGGAAGCGCAAATCGTAGATATAAACACCTCCACGCAGGTCGCCGCCGTACAGGAAGTGCTCACGCTCGTTGCGATCCAAAGCGCACGACCAGAGCATCTTGTCGTGGGCGGTGAACATGGACGAGCACAGTCGCGTCCTTATGTCAAATAGCTTAATCTTTGGCTCGCGACTGGCCACCGTTAGTAAGTGCTGCGACTCGCTAAAAGCAATATCCCTGATTAACATAGCCGAAGTGTGCAGGAAGTGCAGTGGCTTGAAGCTGGGCGGATCGATGAAGCGCACTCCGTAGCCGGGAAACAGATTCTGGGCGCTCTTCTGCGAGGCCACCAGCATGGAGTGCTTGGCGGAATAGAGCAGAACTCGGCAGCCGGGCTCGCGGGTGATCTCAAAGTTCTTCTCCATGTACAGGCGATGTGTGGCCAGCTGGTGGATGCCCTTATGGCCTTCTGCATCGCCTCCAAAGGCCCCTCGACCACCGCCTGCCCTCACCAGCTCCCTCAGCCGTTCGTAGTCCTTCTGCAGGAGCATCAGCTTCTCGGCGGTCAGCGTGTGGGCCAGTTTCGCGGTGGCCAGCTCGGTGGTCAGGGTCTGAGTGCGTCGGCGCTCCACCTCCAGTTGCTCCCTAATGTCCGTGTCCAGCATCTGGATGCGCTTGGCGTACAGGTGACGGATGTCCCGGAAGGTGGCCTTCGTTTTGCACTGGGGACACACTTTTACAGACGATTGGCGTTGGCTTTCGTTCAACCATCGGCGAATGCAGGATTCCCCGAAGAGGTGGCCACAGCGCAGCGAGACCAGACGATGCTCGCCGCTCATCTCCCAGGAATCCAGGCAAATGGGACAGGTCAGCCCGTCATCCTCGTCCTCTATAATGGCTGGTTTGCTTTCGGGCGAATTCTTCAGACTTTTGTCGGCGGCGGAGAGACGTTTGCGTTTTTTGGGCGGCGACGGTGTGTCCAGCGAGATCACAACTGCTTCGCCGCCTTGGTTTCGACGGGAAGTACTGGGCGGACTGGGCATGGGCGGAGGATCCAGCAGGGCTACCGGAGGTACTATGGGTTCTCGATGGAGATCGGGTTCCTGGTTCTCATCTGGATGATTCTGAACAGGTTCTGGAACCTGGTTCTCTCCTGCAGCCTGGTCATCCTCTTGTTCTACCAATGCATCCTCTAGCTCCGCTATTATATCCTCATTTTCAGCGATTGCATCCTCGTTCTCTGCTATATCATCCTCAATCCCTGCGATTGCAATCTCATTCTCTGCGATTGCAATCTCATTCTCTGCTATATCATCCTCAATCTCCGCCATTTCATCCTCAAGCTCTGCCATTTCCTCATCATCTGCAGTACTATCATCACTGACAACATATCCCTCAGAATCGTATTCATCCTCCATTTCCTGCAGCACATAATCCGGATCAAAGTCAGGATTCTGGGTCATAATCCGCTGCCAGTTTTGCCTGCGCGCAACGGGCTGATCGGATTCCCTGCTGTCCGACGAGTAGATTTCCGCATCCAAGTCGGGGTCGACTTCTGCGTCTCCTTCGTCTTCGGACTGACTCATATAAGGTAGGAATCAAGGATTACTGGTCGAAGACTTTGCGCTTATTTCATGTTTCGCTATTTTTTTTTTAAACAAATTCGATAAAAACAAGACGGGACGCTAAATGAATCTAGAGATGGAAAACAGCCAAGTGCGTCGTGAGTATCAATGGTGATGGCAAAAACTCAGAGCAACTATCGAAATATATTAAACAAGGGTATAAAAATCTGTTCCAACCGGCAAACGGCAATCGTCATTGCTTTAAAAGCCTAAAAACAAGTAAATACATTTATGTAAAAGCTAATTTTTTCGTATTTTTCCATTTATTTTTTATTAGAGATTTGAAAAGAAAAAATTCATAAATAATGTTTTAACCGAAAATCATTTTCATAAATTATACTTTTTAGCCTTTAAATACAATTGTGTGTATTTATTTTTAATTTATTATTATTTTTTAAGTTGCTATAAATATCGATTACCCTATATGGGTACGCGATAGCTTTATGGCATTACCCAGCACAACTCGAAACGGTCACTCTAAATCAGACTTTTGACGCCTCCGCCGCCATTCGTTGAAAAAGTGAAATCCTTAAAAGCCGCGTATTAACCGAAGATAATACTCGACGAAAAAGCTGAATAATCGTCAGATTGCACAGTGAATAAAAGGCATCCGCCATAAATCTGAATTAGAGGGTAAAAAAAGAACCCGAGCAACCGGCATTTCTCAAAGCGGCAAGAAATTGCATCAGTGTGCGGGTGTCCCAAAGCCAGGAAGCTTCCATTTCTGCCTGTTAATTATTAAGAGGTGCTAAAAAGGCCGCGAAGTTTACGGTAAGCTAGAGAGTACAGGTGAAATAAGTGCAACGCAATTGGCTGGCTGACTAACCCCCCCGCCCCCGTGGCCTTGAACTCGACAGACTTGGCTGCCGTCCACTCACCCACTTACACTTACATACTCGTATATACACGCACATCTATATACACACGCAAGCCGCTTCTACTAACTGAGGAGCAAACAGAGAGGAGAAGCGAAGAAGGGGGAAGAACGGAGACAGAAGAAAGCAGAGCGCAGAACGTAAACAACAAGAAGAAGAGAGTCATGGCCGAGCCAAGGACGCCCGAGAAGCTGCTGACCGCCAAGCCGCCGGTGTTCCACCACAACAGCCATAGTCCCAATGCCTCGCTGCAGCTGCCCAGCCCAATCATCACGAGGCGCACCCGCACGGCCTCGACGTAAGTCCCCCTGCCTCCTAGCCCAATCCAGCCCACCACCCACTAGCCACCCTCTTGACCCCTAAAACAATTTATGTCCTTTTTAGGGGCCAAATGAGCCTACTAAATTCGGAGAGGTTTTAGTATAAATCCTACAGAATAATCACTATTACTTAAGTCTTCTTTAAAAGAAATCAAATTTTACCTAAAAAATTATTCAAGAGATTTTTCCCCAGATTGATTTTAATAATTGAACTAATTAGCCTTTTTGTATTGGTATCCGAAAGTGTATGTATTATTATTTATTACTTAATAATATTTATATTAAATAATATTACAAAAAGGCTAATTAGTTTATAATATTTATAATTATAATTATAATATTATAATATTTATAATAAATATTTAATATAAATATTATATTATATTTATTATTCATATAAAATTGTGATTACAATGCTAATTCATGCTTTTAATAATTATACATACTTAAACCATTTATGATCAGTAAAAAATTAATATTAAAAGTTTTTTTTTAAGGTTTCACATTTTAAATATTTTTATTTTTCCAGAAGTTTTAATTAAAAAGATATTTTTAAAAGCCATTTGGTAATTCAATTTGTGTTTGTTTACCAAGAAATGAGTTGCTATCAAAATTATAAGCTCTTGGGTACCCTTTTCAATATTATCCCCGTACCTAATTTCTGCCTTCGCCCCTGTCCTTTCATCTGCCATTGATTTAATTGCCTCTTCCTGCTTTTTCCTTTCCCTTTCATCAAACGCTGCCAAAAAACCCAAACACGCGCAAACTCAAAAAATCAGCTCCGCTCGGGCCTTGGAAAATCCGGTTGTGACCGGCGTTGTGAAATCCTTCAGCCGCACCAAAGGACACGGCTTCATTACACCCCATGCCGGCGGAGAGGACGTTTTCTGCCATGTTTCCGAGTAAGTGGATGAATAATGCATAAGCGACCTTTGCGCTCTGGCTCTTTAAAACCTACAAAAAACGTAATCTTCCCACAGCATCGAAGGTGAATATGTGCCCATGCCCGGGGACGAGGTCAAATACCGTCTGTGCGCCATTCCGCCCAAGTACGAGAAACACCAGGCGGTGCACGTGCAGATTAGCAACCTGACGCCCGAGGTGCACCACAAGTGGGAGGAGCCCTTCTTCGGGGGCTCTTCGCCCGCTAAGTAAAGCACACGCTGCTGGTGGCCCAGGATGCGGAGTGTGAGCAGTTAAAAGCTGAATGGCCTTCCAGGAAATTTAATTGAGTTGGAGCACGCCACCCGAGATGAGCGAAATGGAAAACCCGAACAGAACAATAACCATGAAATTAAATGAAAGCATAGCAAGCGAAGCCAGGAAAAAGCCCCATCCAGACCAGAACGTAATAGAATACAGCAACAGGCCTGCCATCCAGCGAACAGCATCACCAGAGTTTCAATTGAACACTTAATTAGAATTTAAGCTAAGCTATGAAAGTCAAAACACAGTCACAAATATTGCCTTTTCCTCTGGAAGAGGAAAGAGGGGAGAGCAACCGAAACCAGTTTCGATAATATTATTGAAAACGTATGTATTTGGAAATTGAAATTGTTATTCGAGAAGCCAGTATGCGCTGCGCCCGATGCTGCGGGGCCTGTATCAGTAATTACTTTTAATTATAACGAAACATCTGAATGTGTTCGCCAAGCAAACAAGCAAAATGCTCTCAGTAATTCACTTTATTATTAAAACAAAAGCTGCAAAACAATCGTGTCGGTGATTTTTATGGAGTGGTGTGGGAGTTTTATATTATCTACAGGCTCTTGTGCGTATTTTTATACACACAGTTGTGGTTAGAATATTGATTACTTTTGTTTCTGATAGAAAATTATTAAGCATAAATTTAAAGGGATATATAAAATTATTTGTATCAAATGAAATGTTGCTGAAATGTTTTAGTAATTTAAAAAATAAGGACTTTTTTATGCGCATTTTTTCAATTTATTTGAAGCCAAACCTCTTTTTCCCATAGTTAGTTTCCAAAAAATGGGAATTTTTATGCATTTTTATATATAAATCCAATTTTATTTCACCACATTATTTTCAACTTACGCGCAAAACATATTATATATACCTACATATTTCTGCACGGCTTGACTTATCAAAGTAGAGCTATAAATAGCTAAACTCATACTCCCGAGATTTAAACTTTGTAGGCTGTTCCCGCCACCGAGTTCAAATTGCGAGTGATTAGTGTGACCATAACCGCGGTTTATAGCACCTGCATGTGTAGTGCGGTCTGATGTTGCTATAAAAATATATTGGAACGTCAACAAACATACGCCACGAAAGAAAATATTCCGATTTTAAAGGAATATGATTTAATTTAAAGACCACTGGCGGAGAAACACAAACTCTTTCATCCGGATATCGAACCAAATTAAAGGCGGTAAGGGGATTTCATCGGGAGATCCGGAAAAAGCTCTTCACTTAAGTGACGTGGACCTGGGACATTTGTTGTTATTCGTTGGTGATTAGAAAAACAGGTGAGCCGGTGGCCTCCAAGGTGGCATGTGCATATAATATATATATATTTATACTTCCCGATGATCCATTAGGATGTCCGCCATACGGAGGAAGCCAACGGGCAGCAATGCCGACCACGATTTGCTCATCGACGAGCACAAAAAGTTGGAGAAGGAGGTGGAGCACCAAAAACCAGACATTCGTGGCGATCGGAGGAACATAGCCATCCTGCTGTTCCTGTACGTCCTGCAGGGCATTCCCATTGGCCTGATTGCAGCCATTCCCATGCTGCTGCAGAACCGAGGAGCCAGCTACAAGCAGCAGGCGGAGTTCTCCTTCGCCTACTGGCCATTCAGTTTGAAGTTGCTCTGGGCTCCCATTGTGGATTCCCTGTATGTGCGACGCTTTGGCAGACGGAAATCCTGGCTAGTGCCGGTGCAGTACCTCCTGGGCGCCTTCATGTTGCTCTTGTCCCTCCACGTGGATCGCTGGCTGGGCGGCAATGGCGTGGATCCGAATGTTCCGCTGCTGACGCTGCTCTTCTTCCTGCTCAACTTCCTGGCCGCCACCCAGGATATCGCCGTCGATGGCTGGGCGTTGACCATGCTGAAGCGATGCAACGTGGGCTACGCCTCCACGTGCAATAGTGTGGGCCAAACGGCTGGCTATTTCCTGGGCTACGTGGTGTTCATTGCTTTGGAGTCGAAGGATTTCTGCAACACCTATCTGCGGGATGTGCCCCTGGAGGAGGGCATGATCACGCTGCCCCGGTTCCTTTGGTTCTGGGGCATCACCTTTGTGGTGGCCACCACTTTGGTGGCCATTTTCAAGAAGGAGAACGACATCGAGGACGCCCACATGGACGCAAGGTACACGGAAGAGCACGAGCTGAATATTCATGAGAGCTACAAGATCCTGTGGGACATGGTGCGTATGCGTCCTGTGCAGATCCTGGCCGCCATCCTGCTCACCGTGAAGGTCACGTTCGCCGCCTCGGATGCGGTGACTAGCCTAAAGTTAATTGATGCCGGCGTGCCCAAGGATAAGCTGGCTCTGCTGGCCATTCCGCTCATTCCGCTGCAGCTCATCTTGCCGCTGGCGGTGGGTCGCTATACGAATGGACCTCGGCCCATGGACGTCTATCTGAAGGCCATTCCCTACCGCATCATCATGGCCACGGTGGCCACTGGACTGGCCTACATCACACCCTATATCATCCAAGGAGGAGTGGTTCCCGTGTACTACTACGTGCTGCTCATCACCAGCTATGCCATCTACCAAGTATTCCTCTACTCCATGTTTGTTGCCGCCATGGCCTTCTTCGCCAAGATCTCCGATCCCGCTGTGGGCGGCACCTACATGACATTCCTTAACACGCTGTGCAATCTGGGCGGCAATTGGCCCAACACCGTGGTGCTGTGGCTGGTCGACGTGCTCACCTGGAAGCAGTGCTCCAATAATGCGGAGAATACCTGCCTGGGCAAGGAGGAGCAGCAGGTGAGTGATTTGCGATCTTAGGGATAAAGATAAAATATAGATAAACTATCTTTAATATAGTTGTGCTTTAGTGCAACAAAGTTTTTAACTTTAAACCAGGGACTGTAATCATCATAAGCGATATTCAAAAAACTCAGAAATAATCATTATTATGTATCAAGAATAATCGTTATTTTATTATTTATAAATATGTATCAGGAATAATCATTTCATGTAAGCGAAAAAAAAATTTCGCTCACAAATAATGATTATTTTGTGAGGGATATTATTTCGCTTTAAAATATCACTCAAAGTTTAAACACAAATAATAGGCTTTACGGGTTCGGAAATGCTTCCTTCTACCTGTTATATGGTATATATGGGCACTTCCAAAAAAAAGTCCACCAAGCCAAAAACCTTGAAACTTGAATAAAACATATTTCAACATGATTTTGCCCCGATATTAGTTTCTAATTAGTTGGATACTGAGCTTAACTACACATTTGGAGTATAGTTTGATTATTTTTATGACAAACTCCACCAATATACGCAAAAATCAGTTTTTGGCTATTTTTTTGTTATTTTTTGGACCTATCTTCTGTTGTTAATTTATCCTATAGGAATGCTAATATGTAACATTTTTCTGTACTGAATGCTTCATTCACATGCTAAACTATTAAGTTAAAAGCAAAACATCCAGCAATTAAGAGATAGAGGTAAAGAAATCCGCTTTACAAAACAGTCGGAAAAAATGTCCCGAGCGACATGTCCCGAGCGAATGTGGTTGAAACTGTATAAAAAAAAAACGGCAAAGAATTTTTGAGTAAAACCAAAAGCATTTCACAGCGACATGTTTGAACAACATTCTAAAAAAAATCGCATTAAAATATTCCATCAGAATTCGCTAATTTCTGGTGTTGTATGAACTTCCCCGAAATCCACTTCTATTTTTGTCCCGAGCGAATACGGCAGTTTTTTACCGATATCTTAAAAACTAAAAGTGGTACAAAATCAAGATTTTTACCAAAAATAGAGCTTGGGAAGAGTGAAAAGAAAAGCCCATAATTAAAACTAAAATCCATTGTTTTACAATTTTTTTTCAACTTTAAAGGTGTGCAAATGTCCCGAGCGACATTTTGGAAGTGCCCATATATATTTCTATGAATTTTTTGAATTTGCCAGATTTTGTTTGTGCTTTCTTTTTAAAACAAATAGTGGATAATTTGTAACAAATCAATGTGAACTGCATAGTAAATAAAATTCAGGGAGAGTTAATCACAAAATTATGGCCCTTTCTTCTTCAAAAGAAATTGTCGTTTGAATTATTTCGGAATTAATGACATTTAATTCTATTAAACTCAAAATTCTAATTCATTCAATTCTATTAAACTCAAAATTCTAATTAATTCATTCATATAAAACAAAAAATTCAAAATAATCCATTCATGCAGGGCTCTTTTATATACTTTTGCCTTAATACAATATACCTTTTTACTCTCCGAGTAGCAGTTATACCTATAAATTCCAAAATTTAGCATAAGTACATATATAATTCCAAATAATTCATTGAATCCATTCATGCAGGGCTCTTTTATATACTTTTGCCCTAATACAATATACCTTTTTACTCTCCGAGTAGCAGTTATACCTATAAATTCCAAAATTTAGCATAAGTATATATATAATTCTGTTTCAACCAGTGCTAATGATCTGTATATTCTTCTTAATTCCTCCCACAGAGCTGTGAAGCGTCTTCCGGCAAATGCGAGATCTCCTTCGATGGCTACTACTTAGAGTCCGGGATTTGCGTCGTCTACGGCATCGTTTGGCTGCTGCTGGTGCGGAAATGGATCGTCTACCTGCAGGACTTGCCGGTGCGATCTTGGCTGGTCGTCAAGCAGAAGGCGCGGTAGCAATCAATTGTGTGATCCGGGGCCAGATCCTCCTGAAGATCCAGCACCGACCCGTAGGTACAAACAACTAATTCTAGGATTAGCAGACGTTTGCATTCTGTAGGCTAGCGAAATTACAAATTCCCGCCTTGGTATTGTTTTTGTATAAATTAATTCCAATGGAAATAAAATAAAATCTACTGTTGAATTGAGCGAACGGGTGTGATGTTGGTTTATTCGCTCGACTGCGCGCAATCATCGGTGTTTAAGGGGTACAAAGAGTCTTAACTTAATTGTTGTGTTTGTAAAAAGTCAGCAATTTAGTAGTACTTCCAGGAGTCGACCGATTCCTGGTTCTGCTTCTGCTTGCTCTTGCGCTCAATCAAACCGGCCAAATGCTCCGATCGCATGGACAGCGAGTCGATCTTCTCGACCAGCTGCTGGTAGGGACTCAGCGGCTGGGTGCCCATAACCACATGACCCAGTTTCGAATCGATCTTGGCATTCAGCCGGGCATTGCGGATAAGGTTGACAATCCAGCACTCCGCCTCGTTGGGCTTCATGTTCAGCTTATCGGCCAGCATGCTGATGGTGATGCACTGGTGGATGCGGCAGAATGTCTCGAAGATCATCAGACGCGCGTCCTCCACGAACTCATTCAGGCAGGCAACGATAAAGAAGTCGTTCAGGATCACCGTCTGGCACTCGTGCAGCTTCAGACGCGCTCCCTCGAAGTCAAAGTTTACGTACAGGCACTCGAGGAACTCGGTGATGGGGTCGCGGTACGTGTACGACTCCTGCTGGATCACCTTGATCAGATCCTTCAGGGCGTTGCGACGCGTGCGGTTGATCACCACGGCGGTGGCCAGATAGC